TTGAACTTCTGCTGACATTCTGAATTCCTGATGTCTGAGTACGCTTAGGTCATGAAATGCTTTTTTAAAGGAATTGTTGTGCAAGCACAAGCTGCCTAGTGGGACACTAAAATATCTTCTTCACAAGGGAATCTCCCCTCCCAACCACACTCTCTATAAAAGACCCATGAGTGGAACCTTGATTAACGCAGTATCAACAGTATGCCCAGGTTAAAATGAACCTATTCTTGGGAAAGGCACCAACACCATCAGCCAGTAGTAGCAGCTTGCCTTGGGCTTATTCTCAGTAAAAACTGGCATGAAGTAAGTTCTGGCCAACTTACCATGGAAGAATTGGCCTGAAGAAGCAGGGTGGGGGTGGAAAGAGCCTGGCCCATGGCATCCTGCTTTGGTAGAGGCTGCCGATCTGGACAGAAGGATGGAAGGCTCTGCTCTGTCATGGCTGCCTCCATGAGGCTTAGTAGCAACACCCAGAACCTGTTTCCTCAGCCATCACACGGAGGTACCCACTTCACCCGTTGTTGAAATTAGCTTGGCACATGGGAATCAGCATGAGTGGCAGGTAATGTTCACCACAGAAGAATGCTAAAGTGCAGCACCCTAGACCGCCAGAGAAAAATTTTAGGTCATTTTGGGGCTCCTAAGGATCAGGACAGGTAAGGAGGGGGACTAAGGGTGTAAAAGCATGGGGTGAGAGTGGGGAAGATCACAGTTTTGTCCAGAACTAATTCTGGAGGAGTCTTGACTCATGCCTTTTTACTGAAGGTGATGTTCATTGTCTGAGTCTGAAAGTCTCAAAATTGGGAACAAGTTGAGGTTTCAAATCCAGAAGGGCGAGTCCCCTTTATGTTGCACACAGCAGAAACCTTCCCTGTCACTTCACCAATGTGTATGCTCTGTTAGGACAATGGGCTTCCTTTGAGGGTTTCTGGGGTGAAAAAGATATAGGAAAATGAATATATCAAACATTTTATCAGTGTCTACTGCATGCAGAGTAGACAAAGAGCTGAATGGAGGTTCAAAAACTAACAGAAAAAAGAAGTAACCCAAATGTCCACCAATGGACGGATGGATAAACAAAATGTGGCATATACATTCAGTGGAACGTTAATCAGTGGTAAAAAGAAGATACTTTGATACATGTTTCCATACGGATGACCTTTAAAGACATTATGCTAAGAGAAATAAATCAGAAACAATGGACAAATGTGATTATGATTCCATTCAGATGATGTAGAGTAGATAATTGCATAGACAGAAAGTAGAATAGTGGTTGCCAGTGGCTGACAAAAGGTGAGGGGGAATAGAAGGATGGTTGGGGAAGTGGGGAGTTACTTTTTAATGGGTACAAAATTTCAGTTTGGGATGGTGGAAAAGTTCTGGAAATTGATAGTGGTAACAGCTGCACAACAATGTGACTGTACATAGAGCCTCTGAACTGTACACTTAAGATGGCTAAAATGGTAAATAATGTATATTTTACAACCCTACCCGCCTCTACCGCTACCCCAGTAAACAAAAAACAACTCAGATCCCAGGTTTTGGCCTCCAGACGCTTGAGTTTAACAGTAGTGGAAATGCATGCAGCCCCAAGGAAGGACAGCGAAGGCTGAAAGGGCCCTGGGCAGCGACTCCAGGCATCCCTCCTCTTTGCGGGGCGCTCAGGAGGCACTCATCATTGGGCAGAATAAGTACCTACCTGGCTACACATGGGACGGCGCACCCTCAGACCAGGGGGACTCGCGTTTTCTTCTCTCTACAGGGCTCAGACTGACAGGCACGAACAATCCCAATACAGGCTTCTGGAATGACTCTTCGCAGGAGGGATGAGGTGCCGGGGAAACAGCCGGGGTTGAAAACACGTTCATGTTCACGATCACGGGTAAAGTCCTGGGATGCACAAGGAATAGCCCAGGTTCCTGCCCCGGGAGTCTGCGCCCCCCACGTCTCTGCCAGCCCTCATCTGCCGGGGCCTCGGGAGCTCACGGTCAGTGGCCAAGGCCAAAGGGCGGAGGCAGAGCCTCCAGAGGGTCGCACTGCCTCCCCGGCTCCCACCGAGCGTAATCCCCGTGACCCCCGCGCGGGGGCTCTCGGAGCGCCCAAACCGCTAGCCGGGTTGGGGGGAGGGAAAGCCGAAGCCTGCAGTCGAAGGACCTGCCTCCACGCCCGCCCAGTCCCGGCCGCCCGCAGCCAGCGGGAGAGACGCCCGGGAGCCAGCTGCCCACACTCGAGAAACGCAGCCTGCTGGCCCAATTCCCCGCACCGGCCGAGCTCTCTGAGAGTTCCCGGCCCGGATGCGAGGGCCCGCAGGTCGCCGCGCCGCCGCCAGGGGGCAGCTCTGCCCCTCGCAGGCACCACCGGGACCCGCGCCCCTCCACTTTCCGCGTGCACGCGAGCGGGATGCGAGGGAGAGGGGTCGACGCGTCGTTTCCCCGGCTCCCCGCTGGGAAAGGTTTTCGTCCCACGTACCAGCTTCGGGATGAGGAGCGGGAGGAGAGTTACCAGTCGGGGCCGAAAGCTGGAAGCGCAGTAGGGAGGGAGGCCCGGGGTGGGGGACGACTGGGGAGTCCAGGGGGACGTGGGAGACGTGAATCGCTTGGCTTTCTGTGTTCCAGGAACTTCGCGAGCGCGGAGCTGAAAGTTGCATACAAACATCTAGCTTAATTAAGCAAACAAAACAAGTGGTCACATCCAAATGTGGGGCTTCAGTAAAGCTCGTCCAAATCTTAGTGGCTGTTCTCCGTCTCTGCAGCGGTCCCTCTGGGCTGATCTTCCACTCTGACGTTCAGTAAATCCTAACACTTTCCCCGGAGTGGCCCGATGATAATTCGCCACGTTTTGCAAACGTTTCCAGGGAAGAGCCTCTTAACCCTTTGGGAAAGAACTTGAGGACAAAGTTACAAACGAATGCAGTCTGTCTCCCGCTCCATGAACGGAATGAAGTCAGTAACCGGTCGCCTAAAGTAATTAATGGTCTGCGAAGAAATTTTTCCTGTTTCATCTGAATACTTCGTCACACACCAACCCTCAGTGCTGCGAAAGTCATGGTGTTTATTTAGATATCGACTGAGTACTTATAAAACTTAAACTTTTCAATGTAAAAGTGAACTCCTTCGTAAGGACTCCTGGCTGTATCAACAAAGCAATGTGACGCCTGATTAATAGTGCTGATTAATGTTGGCTCAGGTTAGTGCTCAGCCTATTACAGTAATTAAATGGTTCAGCCATATATCAAACGAGAGTCAATGAAAAATAATTTATTTAGAACGTCGAGGCATTCTCATAGATCGTTCAAAGACCTATGATAGCCTTTATGGGTCATTTGTAACAGTAACTGCTGGTAGCAGTCCTCAGCACCAAAAAACTCGAATTTGAAATAGGTCTTAGTTGCAGGACCAGTTTATTTTTGAAGCTCTGTGATTGATAGTGCTAGCAATGACACATTTCAAAATTCGAAAAGTATTTGGTCAATAAAATGATATACATAGGGGCAGCTGATGGCTGTTCCTACAGAACGCCATTGAATTTTGATTCTTAGTTCTTGTCAAGAGGTCATTTTAATCAGAAAGTTAAACTTTTAGGGCAAGCTCCCCTCTTTGAAACAGAAGCATTCTAGGAAATGCACCAATCCAGAAGGTATGACTAAATGAATATGAATTCCGCAACTATTAGGATTTTTCCACGAGCCTAAATAGCTCGTTTGAGTTGGTGATAAAGATAGGTACCTTTAAAAAAAATATCATATTTTAATTATTTCCACTATCTTGTCACCTGAGAAAACTGAATTAAGCGGAATATGAATCTCATAAATTTTTTTCATTTCACCAGAAGGTATTAAGAGTAATGGATTTTCCAAAAACACATTTATCTTAAAGTCAACTATCATTAATTTCTATTAATAAGCCTGAGTAAAATATTTATATGTTATGTAATGTAAGTATTTTGAGATTACTATGAAGTGCTGACTAGAATGTTCCTCCTACTGAGAACTATTTAGCCCCATTATGAACAAACTGTTTTTTTTTTTTTTTTTTTTTTTTTTTGAGGTGGAGCTTCGCTCCTGTTGCCCAGGCTGGAGTGCAGTGGAGTGGCGCGATCTCCGCTCACTGCAACCTCCGAATCCCGGGTTCAAGCTATTCTTCTGCCTCAGCCTCCTGAGTAGATGGGATTACAGGCGCCGCCCGTTAAGTTTTGTATTTTTAGTAGAGACGGGGTTTCACCATGTTGGCCAGGCTGGTCGAACTTTTTTGAGTAGTTCATAGGTGCAATTTTTGTGCATGTATTTGGGTTTTCACTAAAAATTTCTATTTCTTCTCCGAATTCAATTGTTACATTCTTAATTCCCATGACATTTGTCAGATCTTCTCATTAGAGTGGCTTAGTTTAGCTGTCAAGCCTCTAGGGCATTCAGTTGTAGATAAGTGACTACAACGCCAGTCTCACAGCATTTTTATTAACTGATGGCAGAAAGCAAACGTCTTTGGAGTAAAACCGAAGAGAACGGGTTAAAGGGTCAAAAAAACAATTATTATCGTGCTTAAAATGGGGAGCCGCTCGCCCAATCTGGGGGAGCTGGGACACCCCCAACAGAGCTCAAAGCGTCACCCAGGGATCACCTCAGAGGATGGGGTGGTTATCCCCCAGCTGGTCAGCTCCTACAGGCCGTGAAGGGGTCAGGGAAGAGCGTTGCGGCTGTGCTTCTGAGGTGAGAGTGGATGACTAATCAAGAAGCAGCCTGGGAACTCTTAACTTGTGCAAAGGCCCTTGGTATAGACCGCCGCGTAATTCGGGTATCAGCCCCTTTGGCAAGAAATAGTGGGGTCCACTCTGCTCCCCACTCTTCTCAGCTGCTGCCTCCCTCCTAGGAGTGAATTTTCTCTCCCAAGCAGGGCAGATTTCCTAGGCTTTCTTTCCTTCCCTCGGCAGCGCTCTGACGTGCACACCATGTGACAGGCCCCCTTCTGCTATAAGCCGAGGAAGGTCCGCCCTCTCCTGGACTCAGCCCTGGTCTCGCCGAGCTCTGTTCCTAGACTCTCACCCGTCCGGCACGTTCCTGTGCGCCTGGCATTCTGATTCGCCCGCCCGCGCCCCGCCACCCCCTCCTCAACCGACGGGGCAAAAGCTGCTCCGGGAGGAGGAGGTCAAGTCCTCCGCCCAGGCCGGGCGCGAGCGGAGCCCAGGGAGCGCAGCAGACGCGCGGCTACCGCAGCGGCGCAGGAGTTACAAAGTCGGCGTGCGAGACTCCGCCGCCACCCGGCGGCCCCAGCGCAGCTCCGGCAGCCGCAGCGCCCCCAGCGTGGCGCCCCCCGGCCGGGCCAGCTGCCCGGGACCCGGGCTGGGGCGCAGAGGGAGCCTGGAGCCCGGCGCCCCCATGCGCCGCCCTGCCGCCGCCGCCGCACCACAGCTATGACCCTGAGCACGGAGATGTCCGATGCCTCCGGCCTCGCGGAGGAGACAGACATCGACGTGGTGGGGGAGGGCGAGGACGAAGACGACGAGGAAGAGGAGGACGACGACGAGGGCGGTGGTGGCGGGCCCCGGCTGTCTGTACCCGCGCAGCGGCGGCGGCGGCGGCGCTCGTACGCCGGGGAGGACGAGCTGGAGGACCTGGAGGAAGAGGACGACGACGATGACATCCTGCTGGCCCCGCCTGCTGGGGGGTCCCCGGCGCCCCCGGGTCCGGCCCCGGCGGCGGGGGCGGGAGCCGGTGGGGGCGGCGGCGCGGGCGCTGGCGGCGGCGGTGGCGGCAGCGGCGGGAGCGCCGGTAGCGGCGCCAAGAACCCGCTGGTGAAGCCGCCCTACTCGTACATTGCGCTCATCACCATGGCCATCCTGCAGAGCCCCAAGAAGCGGCTGACGCTGAGCGAGATCTGCGAGTTCATCAGCGGTCGCTTCCCCTACTACCGGGAGAAGTTCCCCGCCTGGCAGAACAGCATCCGCCACAACCTCTCGCTCAACGACTGCTTCGTCAAGATCCCCCGCGAGCCCGGCAACCCGGGCAAGGGCAACTACTGGACGCTGGACCCCGAGTCCGCCGACATGTTCGACAACGGCAGCTTCCTGCGCCGGAGGAAGCGCTTCAAGCGGCAGCCGCTCCTCCCGCCCAACGCCGCTGCCGCCGAGTCGCTGCTGCTGCGCGGCGCGGGAGCCGCAGGGGGCGCGGGCGACCCGGCCGCCGCCGCAGCACTCTTCCCGCCCGCGCCGCCGCCGCCCCCGCATGCCTATGGCTACGGCCCCTACGGCTGCGGCTACGGCCTGCAGCTGCCGCCCTACGCGCCGCCCTCGGCCCTCTTCGCCGCCGCCGCAGCCGCGGCCGCCGCCGCCGCCTTCCATCCGCACTCGCCCCCGCCGCCTCCGCCACCGCATGGCGCGGCCGCCGAGCTGGCCCGGACAGCCTTCGGCTACCGGCCGCACCCGCTCGGCGCCGCCCTGCCCGGCCCCCTGCCGGCCTCCGCGGCCAAGGCAGGCGGCCCGGGCGCCTCAGCGCTGGCGCGGTCGCCCTTCTCCATCGAGAGCATCATCGGGGGCAGCCTGGGCCCGGCCGCCGCTGCCGCCGCCGCTGCGCAAGCCGCCGCAGCCGCTCAGGCGTCGCCCTCGCCCTCGCCGGTGGCGGCGCCGCCCGCGCCCGGATCCGGCGGAGGAGGCTGCGCGGCGCAGGCGGCCGTGGGCCCGGCAGCCGCGCTCACCCGCTCCCTCGTGGCCGCCGCGGCCGCCGCTGCCTCCTCCGTCTCCTCGTCCGCTGCCCTGGGGACTCTGCACCAAGGGACTGCCCTGTCCAGTGTCGAGAACTTTACTGCTAGGATTTCCAATTGTTAATAACGCTATGTTAGCCTGCTCGAGGAAGAAGGTAGGAATCCCAGCTCCTTTTCTCCTCTCGGTGGTTCGGGGTTTTGTTCGCTCCTCCCGGCGCGGCCCCTCTCGACCTTGCGCGCCCATTTTCTCCGCTGCGAATATTAAGACGAAACTGTTTATCAACAGCTCGGGCTCGCTTTTCGGCTCTGCGGGTCCCTCTATTTATGCAGAGTCGTCCTATGCTACAGCCCCGCGACCTGGGGCAGGGAGGAAGAGGGTGTTGGGGAAGGGGGTCCGCTCTGTGTAGGCACTAGGGGCTCCCTAGATGTTTGGCAGATGAAAAACAACTAAGCCTTTTGAGGTGTGCAGATTCTCAGGTCCAGGCCTTAAAAATAATGTTCAAAATAATAATACAAAAATAGTGAAGGTCTCGAAGAATGCCAGCGAAGCAATACTTTTTTATTTGAGGACATTTGTCTGGAGTACTTTTTCATGAAAAGGAAAAAAAATGGTTAACATGTTTACACAAGGAAAAAAGTCAAAATTATCCTTTCTTATTTCAACCTGTGTTTTATATCATAACAGATGTGCGGAATTTTTATTTTGTACTTACTGTGTATTCTTTACAAGGAGTATTGTAAATTTTACTGGCAATTGTACTATTCTAAATGTAAGGTTTTTACACTTTTTAAGAAATAAAAGTGCTTAATTTTCAAAGAAAATTCACCAAAATAATTGGCCTCAGTTGTCCCCTTCTTAGTTTATTTTCTTTTCTGCTTAAAAAAAGTTTCTATGTGGGGTAAGTAGGAACCCAATATGGAACAGACTTAAATATTTGCAGAGAGAATTTTAACAGCAGCATCATGCCATGATTTTTCATTTGAACTTCCTAAGTGAAAACTAGGAAGATCAGAAATTTTCTGCAGGAGATCAGAAATTACTTTTAAATGACTACAAATAAAATAAGTTACTTTTAAATGACTGCAAATAAAATGTTACTTTGGTACACATTTTCAAATCTGATTCTACGTCATTTTAAAGCCCATTGAGGTATGTAAAAATTAAAGCCAAAGGTACCCAAAGATAATTTTATAGAAACTTTGTATTTCATTTTTGAGTTTTCTTCCCATTCAGTTTCCACTTTGTTCACAATATTATGTCTGCAAAAACTCTACATAATATCTTGTAATGGAAGTGAAACAAGCAAAAAGGCAGTTTCTAGTTTCAGAATTCTAATAGGAAAAATTAGTAGAGATGATCATCAGTTAAGTAGCTTTAAAGCCCTGAATAAGGACGTATTCGTATGTATGAAATAAATCATATTTTAAAATGCCACTATTTACAGCTACTGTGTTGCAGATGGAAGGAATTCGAGTAATTGTATAAAGAGGTTTTTCTCTTAAAAGACAAATTTATTGAAATTATGGCTTAAGTGAATGATTTAGGGTATTTAAGATAAACCTTCAACTTTAGGATGGTTTAAAGAAAAAATGAAAATACATCAGGTGTTCATTGAGTTAATTATATTTACTGAATTTAGGTTTATCTTTCAAAGTTTAATGTCTTTTTATTAACTATTGCATGAAATTTCTATTCTTTGAAAAAACGTGAGACACTGCGCTCCAAATAAAACCTAGGCATATGTAACGCATAATTTAAATATCTGACGTTAGTGTTTTTAGTGGGGACTAAATCTGTTTATTCAATTTCTTTAAAATGTCTGGACAGGTATATATCTGAAGATTTGCAGATTTAACTTACCAAGTTAATGAAGTCTGCATTATAGGGTCAATATTTTGTAATGATACTCACTTATGACACCCTGTCTCTTTTTAGGGAGAAAACGGACTTTCACGGGTTCAAATGAAGCTGTTTGTTCCCCGCCTTGTGAAATGTTTCAAGGAGGTTAAACCCTCTTACCTTCAAACTTCCCACTAACTCTATAGATACAAATTAAAATACTGTTAGAGCAAAATTTTATATAGAAAGTTACTTTTACTCTAGCCTGGCTAAAAGAGAGGAGTCATTGACCCCGAGAACGTCCGGACCCCACGCACCGCCCCGGGTGGAGAGGCGTTGGCAGGCGGAATCCAAAAGGCACAGACACTGCTGGAGCGCCTGGTGGCCTTCTGTAACGCACGCATCTGAAATTTAGATCTGAAAATAATTACGAGGAGAGACAGCCAGAACAAAACCGTGTGTATTTTTAATTTTTGCCCGATGCTTGGATGTCCCGAAAGCAGGGAATCCTGGTTAATCTTGTCTCCTCGTTCCTATTCTCACGTCTTCAAAAGTGTTGGGATAGGCCCCACATCTGGGGGTATCAGTGCATTTAAGAGAATGGCAAGAAGGCACTGGGCAGTCCAGGCCTCGCTCCAGGTCCCGGGGTTGGGGTCCCACTTTACGCGCCCCCACTGGAGACCGCAAGCCTGTTTTCAAACAGGTGGAGAGCAGCGTCAGCCCAGAGTTAAAGGAACGTGCAAATCCAAGTCGCCTGGATTCCGAGTGTTGCGTCCCGCCGCTCAGCTCCCCACCCTCTGGGTTTGGGGTTCCGCTCTAGGCCGTGGCCACACTGCGGGCTTGCTCACCAGGCGGTTGAGACGGGGAAGCAGGGCCGCGGGGCGGGTCGGGTATGAGCTGCGAGAGGTGTGGACCGCAGGCCAGGCGAGGGACGAGTGGGCCGAGCACCCTGGACGGGCTAGCCAGGAGCGCGGGGCGAGCCCTGTCAGGCCGCGCCGGCGAGCAGGTGCTGGAACAAAGGCCGCCGGGCTACCGCGGCCTTTGATGGGCAAGGACGTCTCCTCCTGGGGCTCCTCATTCGCATGCAAATCCAGAGCTGGTCCCCTTTTCTTTGTAGGCAAACAGAAGGATGTTTGTGTGTTTGTAGGAACGAAGCCTGCTTGAACAAGCCTTCCTCAATAGGCTGGGTCTCGAAAAATAAACCAGTTGGACAAACATTGGCCACCAGCTCTCCTCCTCCCAACTACAAAGTGTGGATTTGCTACAACTCATTAACCCGACGCTTTTCTCCCCTTCTCCTTGTTTCTCTGCTCATCAAACGCCCCCGTAGAGCCTCGAGACAAATGACCGAAGCTCAGTCGGGAGAGAATTGCAGTTAATAGGGAGAGGGATATATTGGGGCTAATGGTTCAGGCAGCTCCCGGAGAAGGACCACACAAAAAGGAGCCTCTCCATTCAGGGCTCTGTTGTGCTGCAGAGATTTAATCTGCAGCTAGATTTAGCCAAATGTTATCTATTGCGGGGGTAATGAAGCCCTTATGGGTTGAATTGCTCCTTGTACCACACATGGTGTCATGACCTTAGATCATTCCTTGGTTGATTTCTCTTTTCTCTATTGGATAATTATTTTATTTCTTTAGAATAAGAAGCTAGCGCTTCTTCTCAACAACGCGTTTCCTGTCCATCCCATCCCATGCATTTATTTAAGGGCCACTTCCCTTCCCCTTAAAAAAAGAAAAGGAAAAAAAAAAAAAAAAGGAGCTGGGGAGGTGAAGGAAAAACTTTGTGAAGACGCATCTTATTTTTTGCTCCCTGAAACATCTGTATGTTTACACATCTCAACTTGTCTGGCCCCTTGGCAGCTCTTTCCTGGCCAAACTTTCTGTTGATGGAACTGGAATTCTGGATATATTTATGATAAAAATTCTTGCAGTGAATGTAGTAAGCATTCATCTCAGGAAAAGGCTTTTCTGCTCTTCACAGTTTTTTTCTTTTTTATAAACCTACCATTTCTTCCTGTAGCCTGTCCTCTGAGAGAGTTGGGGGAGGTGGTTATTCTGATGGAAGGTGATTATTTTGATGGAAAACCAGCCTTTGTCATTTATTAAAGTCCGTCTGAGGCCAGTGGTTGAGGCTATGCCTGTTGTGTTTTTCTCTCTCTAGCCAGTGGCTCTGATTTCCTTGTTTGATCGAGGACCAAGCTTGGAGCGGCTAATAGTGTTATTACAATTGCTATTGATGGGTAGGGATCTGATCATACTACCCAAACTAGGAATCAAGGACTCCGGTTAAAATTTTAAAATTCTCTGCTGGCTACACATTCTGCTCACACCTGTTTTTATTACGGACTGAGAAAAGTCATTTTGGGGGCAATTTAAAGGTCATATCCGCATCAAACTCAATCCAAATCAGAAATCTGCCCAGGAACTGCCCTCGTCTCTCAGGGCTCTTCCAGGGGGGTAACCATGCATCTAATTGGAATGCCAGGGGGTCCATCACCCCCTTTAGAACTAACCAGACGAGGATAGGCCTGGAGAGCAGAGGACAAGTGAAGTGGGCCCAGCATTGTCTGCATTCATTCTTGTCTCTGCCGGTTTCCTGGTGGTGCAGCTGGGTCACACATACACATACACAGGCATGCATGCTTATTGCCCATCAGCTGCCACTTACCTCCTCTATGATTTTGTAATTAGACATATGCTTTTTGTTGGTAAATGTGTTTGATGTCATGGCCAGTGAAACGTGGTGTGTTTATAGGGCAACGAATGTAAATGTGTAAATATGTTTAGTGTAAAATCTGGCCCTTCGACTTTAGCAATAAATACCCTGCCAACTCGGATACGATTACATTTGACAGAAAGATGGAGAATCTGATCATGACCAGCTGCTCAGGGCTGTTTGGGGCTTATACTTTCCCAACTGAATTCACTTTTCAGATAATTTCTTTGCACGTCACATCCCTCTAATCACATCTTTCCCTTGATGTGAACAACTTGGGCTTCTTTCTTTTTAGTGCTGACCTCTCTGGCATGTAGGAAACTTCCTGGTTCATTCTTCCAGCTTCTTTCCTCTAGGAAAATACTAGTCAATAAGAAGCAAAACAGACACACAGAGAAAATAACTGAAGATTCTCAGAGATCCCTTTTGATTCCCAAACCTCCAGGTATGATAGGGTGAGTAGGAGGAGAAATGAGGATAACCGTGATGAGCTTCTGATGGCATATTTAGCGTTTTTCTTGTCGTTTTTTTATCATGAGTGTTCCACCTTGAAAAAACTATAACTTATAAAAGTAAAAGTTTTAGGGAAGTATATGTTTGCAAAAGTGCGCAAATCCTAACAACTTTTCGAAGTGGCCACGTATGTATTACGTAACTAGCACCACAGCAAGAAGCAGATGTTATCAGTGTCCTGGAATCCTTTTCCTGTCTATTCAGTCAATATCATCACCACACATTGACTTTGTATAAGGACACTCACTAATAATTCTCTCAAATGCACTGTGAAATAGGACAAGGATTATTATTGACCCCAATTTTACAAATAAAGATATCAAGGCTCAAAGGAAATTAAATGACTTGTCTAAGGTCACAGCTACTGGGACTTCAGCATTTAAAACCCATCTTATTTTTGTTACATCACACTGCTACTTTGATGCCATCATTGTGATTTATTAAACACCAACTGTGGTAGGGAAGTTGCCTTAGAGGTCACTGTGTAGAAGAGTTGTTTGTTTCTTACACGCTGTGTTTTTTCATTCTTGCCACACCCTCCTCCCTACCACTTCCACCCAGGTCTTCTGAGAGATACTCTAGCACCTCATTTTAGATTCATTTGGAATTGAGAGCTAATTATTTCAGAGGTATCAGCTTCTTCCACGTAGTTCTACATGATGCACATGATACTTTCCTAGCATCCCTCCCCACCCCCCAATTTTTTGGCATCAACAGTTTTCTTTAAAACAACACACACACACACACACACACACACACAC